GAGGGAGTGTCAGACTCTTACTGACTAAAAACCACCCCGTTCCTTCTCCTGCACGTCGAGCCGGAGCCCCGGTTACCCGTTAGGTTCTCCGCGACTCCGAATCGGCATCGGCCCTATTGGGCCCCATCTGTGGTGGTCTGATGGCTCTTTGAGGCGCGCGCGGAACGCGACGCGCCGTACGCTCGGGTCTGTTTCTGGTCGGACGGGGAGCCACCCATGCTCGCCGTCCGCAGGCCCGCGCTTACGGTGGCCGGAGATCGTCCCGCGATCCCCGACGCCCGGTGTGTCCTTCGCGATGGCTGGGTTGCGAGGAGGCAGCGCTTCGCTGCCTCACGCGTCCCGCCTCCTCCTTAGCTAGCATGACTGCTTCGCAAAAGGAGGAGACGGCATCCCAATCCCCCTCGCTCCGCATCATGGCCTGCACTAGGCCCGGACGCGAGAGGTCGCCATCGCCGATCACTTCCCTGAGGACACGGCGGTGCTCAGCCCACGAAGGGCATTCTCCCACCGTGTGTTCCACCGTGTCCTCAGGGCGGTCCTCGCAGTGATGACACCCGGGCGTTTCCTCCCGCCCCATCAGACACAGGTACCTCCCGAAACTCCCATGTCCGGTGAGGACCTGCGTCAGGCGGTAGGTGAGGACGCCGTAGCGTCTCTCAAGCCACTCCTCAAAGAGGGGACTTACCGCTGCGATGGCAGCGAGCCCATTCAAAACTGCAATAAACTTTTTTTCACGACCTAATATCAAATTTTAGCTAGGACCAAACGAAACTGAAAATACAAGGTGGGCCAATAGATGTGTCTAGAAGTGTATATCCTTCAGAAAATGCACAAGGAAGCTTGACCTCCGGGGATAAGGCAAATCTCTTTGCCTGATTACGAAATTATACTAGGACTGTGGTTCAATTAATTAGTAAAATCGTCATTAACACTGTGAGAATGATCTTGTACGGCTGTTAGTGTCTTTGTCGGTAGGAGCGCGTCTCAACTCCTTACCACTGGTGGGTCGCATGCAGAAATACACAGCGTCAGCTCCAGGTGTACCCCCGGGATCACCGAAAAGCGGTCTTCTCGATTTCCTCTACTAACATGATTCCATAATGTATAGGTTTCAATCGTGTCGGCCCCCCACGTGAATCAGATGGGCACTCGAACGTATAGTCGGATTTGAGGGGCGGTTGTATTTGGAGAAGGGTTAGATTTGGGGGGCGAACCTATTATCATTATCATTTTATTACTACTCATCAACACCAGTAGCCTATGAGTGGCCGCTGCTAACCAAAGACCTTCGCACACGGAGAAGTTTTGAGCGTTAATCGCCACGCTTGCCCAATGCGGGTTGACGATTTCGAAATTTATAATTAGAAATTATAAGTCCAGGTTTCCTCACGATGTTTTCCTTCACCGTTTGTCAATGGTGTCTAAATAATCTTAGAAAGCATCTAGATATAACTCGAAACATACATGAGTCACATCGATACTTGCCGGTGGTGGGTTTCATTACAAATTATGCTCTCATAATTAGGTACTAGCTTCTGCCAGCGGCTGCACCCCCGTTCCCAGGGGTAAAAATTAGCCTACGTGTTACGTTAGACCATAATCTACCCCAGTCTTAAATGTCAACTCGGTCCCTTCACTCTTCAGCCGTCTTGATGTGACTGAATAACAAACACACACACAAACTCACATATTTTCACACTTATAATATCGGTTCAAGCTAATATCAACCATCTGCCCTACAGTTACAGCGTAAAGTCCACTAAGGGCAACCTAACATTCGACAAACTTATATTTGCGTTTGGTGAAGTAACCATGTCTCGGGGTTGAGCCGCACAATTAAGTTTGTTTTTTCGTGTGTATACTTTTTCTGAATGAAAAGTACCGAGCGTTGTGCCCAGGATATTAAAGTATAATGATGCCAAGTTTCATCGTAATCGGACCAGTAGTTTTAGCGTGACACGTGAACATACAAACAGACAGACAAACAGACAACTAGGTATATTTTTTTTAATATTTTCAATGTACAGAATTTACACTTCTACAGTTTTATTATATTATTGTGTATAGATATAGATGGCTTTAAATATTAATATTTATGGGATATTTAACCAATTAAATATTTATGGGAAATAAATAGACAGAATAATAGGTTCAAAATATTTTATTTAGAACAAAACATTCAAATGGCTCCTTGGATTTCACTCGGTAGGAAGTCACTTAAGTTTTTCAGACCAATATCGGCTATGTGCTTTGGAATATGTATTCCTTCGATATCTGGATTGAAGCCGCGCCATTTTTGTGCCCAACTCTTGTACCTTAGTTCCTTCTTGTATTGCGCTTCTTCGGTATTGTTATTTTGACGACCCCACTTCATGTTTCTTTTCCTCTAAATTTTAAAGTAGGTATCAGTAAAAAAAGGAACAATTAAAAATGTTCCTTTTTTTACTGACGGCACCGTGTCAGACGTTGTTATTGGGGTACTTACTTGACAACATGGATAGTGCGGTCGTTATGGGGTCAAAAATAATAAATTTTTACTTAATTCATAGTATATAAAAAAACGTAATTTCTCCCTAAGGAATGAAAAATTATAAAATAATGAAATATTGAGAATTATCATAACGTAACCATAATTATCATGATATATTTAATCTGTGCTTAAAACTCTGTTATTATTGTCTCTGTTGGTTGTCATCATGACATTCGTATGATGACAACCGATAATCGTCGTTCGTATTTCTTTAATAGTTAGTGTAAATAGGAATTTAGGAAGGACTGCACGGTTGGTGCGGTGCCTGGGCGATCGGCTGCCACGTAACGTGTCGCGGGTTCGATTCACGCACGGAGCAACTGTTTGTGTGATCCACAAATTGTTGTTTCGGGTCTGGGTGTCATGTGTATGTGAACTTGTATGTTTGTAAACGCACACACGACACAGAAGAAAAAAAAAATACTTCACAGTACAATTGAAAATGACACTTTACTTTCACAACAACACCCTATAATGCCCACTGCTGAGCAAAGCCTCTCTCACATTGAGGTTAGAACATTTATTCACCCCATTCCTGTATTTATTCACTCCTCGAATTCTATACCCCGTTTTACGGTACGGAGGAGTCTGGAATTGTGCCCGGTGTATGGCAATAAGGTATTACATGGGACTTATAACATAAATAGTGAAAAGTGGGTGGTAATTGTGGCGTGGCATTAAGCGCCTTAATGTGCACCTCTGCCTACCAACACCTCTCCCCCCCGGGATAAAAAGCCTGGTGTTATGTAAAAAAAAAATTTTTTATAAAGAAATCCTGAAAGACTCCCGTAACATTTTGAAAATTAATTGTCATTTTGAAAATAAATTAACTAAAAATCATAGGTTACACACGTAAATATATGGAGAATATGCAGACAATCTAGTTTCCTTATGGCATCGCGCATTTCTTACTTTATTGAAACAAAAAGTTCCATTTTTCTTATATAGAAGCACTATTTTTTATAGATTGTCTACTCTGTCTACTATGTTGGACTATAAGATTTTTTATTTTAGTAAGTTTTGTAATGAGTATAATGCGTCAAGCGTGTCTTTGCATTGTTCTCACATATACGTACATTATTGGAATATGTATCAGAGACATTGTAAAATATACTTTTTTTAAAAAAGAGTAACGAATGGAGTTTCTTGCTCGTTCTTCTCCATTCGAATCTACATTTTGGAATGAGCACCTAGCATTACCTAGCTTCACTGACGGACTGACTGACAGACTATTATATATTTTGTATTTGTTGACGTTCGAAAAGTACCAAATTATGGTTTAATTGAAATAAATGCTTTGATTTTGACTTAAAAGTTCTGTTAGTTTCGAACCATATGCATCGCGATGGCGCACGCTGCTCATGAGGAAGAACCCCTCTGTGGTTCGAAACTAGTAGAGCTTTTCTCAGTATATTCACGTGAGTAACCCGCGGTTTCATTTCGTATGTCTCGCGATAGTCATTATAAATTGTCTGTACCTTAATACTCCTTTTTGGTTTTACTGTCGTTTTCATTTTCATACTTCTTCGACTTGGTGGCATCTCTTCATTTGGAAAGTCTTCTGGTTTAAGTAAACCTTTGTCTCTCGCGTCTTTCAGTTGCTCAACAGGTATATTATATTTTTCAGACATTTTTTCCCAGTAATCATCTTCTTTTTGATTCTTTTCGTCATGTTTATTTTCAAACTTCACGAACAAGTTGCGATCTATTATCAGCTGGTTGTAGTAACTCCCTGAAATATGCGAGAGAGCCATGCTACAGCACTGCTGGGCCGGCTCGACCGGAGTGATACCACCAACGAGCAGAAAACCATAGTGAAACAACGCTTGCGTTGTGTTTCGTCGTGTAAGTGAGGTTACTTCCCCTCTCCAGTCTCCCCAATCTCCGAATTCCCCTCAATCCTCAAAATTCCCAATTTCCAAAAAGCCGGTAACGCACTTGTAACGCCTTTGGTGTTTCGGGTGTCTATGGGCGACGCCGATTGCTTACCATCAGGTGATCCATCACCTCATTTATCGGCTTATGCCATAAAAAATGTAATTGTATTCTTGATACACACGTCGAATTACAAAAAATCAGTAGGTACGCTGCGCGACGTCGCTGCTCATGATGAAGAGTCCCTCCGTTACTCGAAACTAGTAGAGCTTTTCTCAATATTTACGTGAGAGGTGTTAGAGTTAGTGAGTAAACCCTAACCGACTTCAAAAAGTAGTTTCTCACTTCGACCTGGACGTCTTTTCTTAGGGGAAAAAAATCATCTAATTACTTCTCCCGCCTGGGTGAGGCGGGAGGGAGTGTCAGACTCTTACTGACTACAAACCACCCCGTTCCTTCTCTTGCACTTCGAGACGGAGCCCCGGTAACCCGTTAAGTGGCCCGCGGCTCCGTATCGGCATCAGCCCTATTGGGCCTCATCCGTGGTGACTGACTGACGGCTCTTTGAAGCACGCGCGGAACGCGACGCACCGTACGCTCGGGTCTGGTTCTGGTCGGGCGGCGAGCCACCCATTTTCGTCGTTCGCAGGCCCACGCTTACGGTGGCCGGAGATCGTCCCGCGAATCACCGACACCTGGAGTGTCCTTCGCGATGGCTGGGTTGTGAGGAGGCAGCGCTTCGCTGCCTCACGCGTCCCGCCTCCTCCTTAGCTAGCATGACTGCTTCGCAAAAGGAGGAGACGGCATCCCAGTCCCCCTCGGTTGCGATCAGTTGCGACAATCGTTGCTGCCGTTCCGGCATGAGATCGCGCCGGAACTCTTCCCACCACGCACTAATCTGGCGCGGCCGTCGGCGCGGCGACGTGCCGTCAGGGAGTTGAAAGCGTTGGTGATGTCCAGAGTCACCGCCATTACGACCTTACCCCTGGACACTGCAGTCCCCGTCGTGAGCTCTCTAACGCGCATGATGGCGTCCACCGTGGAGCGCCCTCTGCGGAAGCCGAACTGGCCGTCCGACAGGTCCGGACCTGGGTGCCTGTGTATGTATATTTGTGGGCGACCATCTCCCGATTGGCTGAACCAATTTTGACACGGTATTCAGAGAAGTGTTTGTTACACTTTTATTAACCGTCTTCAAAAAGAAGTCGGTTTTCTTAAACGTGGTTCATAAAATAATTATCTAATTAATACTCCCTCGTTGGCCGAATGGCCTCAGGTGCGACTGCCGGGCAAAGTATTATTGGGGTTTTGAAAAACTCAGTAGTAGCACGGAGTCTGGATTTGCGCCCGGTATATGGCAATAGGCTCACCCCCTATTACATGGGACTCATAACATAAATAGTGAAAAGTGGGTGTTACATTGTACAGTGGCGTTAAGTGCCGTAATGTGCACCTCTGCCTACTCCTTTGGGGTTAAAGGCATGTTGTTATGTTATTGTGTGTATGTTATTTAATTGATATACAAAACCAGTTTCTCATGATCTCCCTTCACAACATATAACATGTTCTTTCCGTACATTGAACGGGCAGTTTGTGACCGTTTTGTAGAGCTGGACGCGTAGTCCGCGGATGATGGCGTGCCCGAGTAGAATATACTATTGTTTTTTGTCTGTGTAATCACGTAGATAACCGAATAGAGGTTACCGGAGCCCCAATAGGGACGATGACAGGGTATGAAAATTAAAAATCTAATTAGTCCGTCAGTTAGGCAATGAAAAAATATTAGACACATATTTTTTTATTTTGTCGTATAAGAAAACAATACTTAGATAAAACGAATCAGAGTTTAGGAGTGGGAGGCAGCTACGTCATTTTAGAGTATAAAACGTAGGTACCTACACAAAAGTGACGTCACGCGATATTTCAAATCAATATATCGTCGAAAGTATTCGTTTCCGTAAGAAAATTAAAAATGACGTGTCTAATGTTTTTTAAATAATCTACCAGACGGACATCAAAATAAAAATTACTTATTTCAGTCAGTCATTTCTGTTTTTTTTTTTTGACATGCCCGCCACAACCTCTCTAAACCGATGCATCTCCTGTAAGCCAGGATCTACAGTACATACAACCATGAAAACACCGGAACACTGAAGTCCGGCGCGTCCCAGGGACATGAGTAACTGTCTTGGTTCCCGCAACGAAGTGAATCAGAAGATATTATAAGAGGAAAAGAAGAAAAAACTATAGTTTCCACTTCCCTCGGTGAATGACTGCAGGAGACAGAATGAATTAAGCCTAAAGGCAGAAAGAAGAGACTGTACAACTGGGTGAAGCCCAGTCGCCAAGCACCACGGTTTGACTAAAAATTAAGTGGGTCAGTCAGTCAGTCAGTCAGAGATTGGGAGCAATAGGGCAGCCTATTGCTCCCCAATCTCCCCAATCCTAAAATTCCCAACCCCCAAAAGCCCGGCAACGTTCTTGTATCACCTCTCGTGTTTCGGGTGTACATGGGCGGTGCTAAATGCTTACCATGGTGTGGAGTCTGCTCGTTTGACTATCTTATAAAAATGCTTTAAAACACTTACGTATGGCTGCATAAGCGTTCATCAAGACATGAACATCGGTTTTAGGATTGTGAAAGATTTCGGGCGTTGAATAGTGCTTGTAGATATCCAACATGTGGGTGAATTTGTCTATCACGTTACCCGACACTATGCCCATTTCATATTCCAATGAACCTCTATATGTGCCTTGTATATTCTCTGCCATGATCAGCTTTAAATACGCATCTAAAATGAATAATGAGTTAATAGTTATAAAAGTAAATCAGTCGTGCATTCTCGATTTCATCAGGATAAAATTACATACAATCGTTTTTGTCAAAGGTCTAGTAACACAATCTGTGGGCTTACTCTTGAATCCAATTCCGATCGATCGACATTGATATTGTGAAATTTCATACTCTCGAGTTGCAACACTAGCGCCCATTGCATCCGTATTGGGAGGATATTGAATGAACTAAATGATATTGAGTTTGGGTTTATATTCCGTGCTCTGAATGCTGTTTTAACAGCTACAATAGAGGTTGTATAGTTTTGACATTGGTTTCAAGAGTAAAAACCCTGGCCCCCACGGATGACCAGTTAGGTGTTAATAAAGAATCCCACCTTCTGATTTTGCTGTCTTGCAATCACATTCATAATGCTGTAGGACTGTACCTATTTCACTTTTACCTTGTTGACTCGTTGACTGTCTCGTTGGCCGAGTGGTCGCACATGTGACTGCCAGTCTCGGGTTCGATTCCCGGGAGGGACAAAGTATTACTGGATTTATAAAAAATTCTCAGTAGTAGTACGGAGTCTGGAATTGTGCCCGGTATATGGCAATAGGCTCACCCCCTATTCCATGGGACTCATACCATAAATAGTGAAAAGTGGGTGTTACATTGTACATTGGCATAATGTGTACCTCCTCCGGAGATAAAAGGCATGATACATAAAGCACCTAATTTTTGGTGATCATTTTGGTATAGTGAATAATCACCTTTCAGTACACCTTACCAAACTAAAAAATACATGAAAGTTTAAAGATTTCATCTATCTAAGGGCTCGTACACGAAACTGCGGAACTTGCGAATAGATTCGCATCGCACATCAACATCTTATCTTCTCAAAATCATAATGACACCATTACAAGTGGATTACCAAACTTGTCAAAATCAACAAATTTGAAATCAATGATGCATCATTGTGACACTATTGTAATAGCAGACTTTAGGCCCTGTGCGGTGGAATATAGAAACATACGCGTATTCTTTTTTACTGTGTACAAGAAGACTAAGTTGTCGGTTTTTTTTTTTTTTTTAAGGGTGGAAAATCATCGAATGACTGCTCCCGCCTGGGTGAGGCGGAAGGGAGTGTCGGACTCTTACTTACTAAAAACCACCCCGTCCCTTCTCCTGCACGTCGAGCCGGAGCCCCGGTTACCCGTTAGGTTCTCCGCGACAATGACTCATACGGTGGAGTACCTATTTTTTTACATAATAGTATCACATCACAACAGAAACAGGTTCGACTCAACAATGCGGGTGTGGGAGACATACAACTTGATCCATACATAGACGAGCATGACCGCCGCGCGCCGCGCGCGATCCAAGACTGAGCGCGGCCGACTAACCGCACATATTTTATATGTGGCGGCATGACGTTGTAGTTGTACTTTGATGACGACGGACGTGCGCCTGCGGCTGCGACCCTCAGAACACTGAGCGGCCGGTCGCCGCATTAGTTTTTATATAAACGCAAGAACGTTTCTGATTGGCCGAGCGTATTCTTCGACATTTGTTTTACCAATAAGATATACGTAGCTTTAAGTAAATTTTGTATAAATATGACCGCATAAATAAATTCAAAATCATTCTCATTCTGGTAATTCATATAATTGGTGTTTTACTAAATACCCTAAAGAACCCATATTGGTGACCCCGACGTGAGTCGAGCGCAGGGGTATCGAGATAAATGCGTTCAATTATTTAATTGTAAACCCTTCGAATACGTGATCGCTGTTTACTGTCCATTCAGGATTGTTACCAATCGTTAGGATTGGGATAGTATATTGTCTATGTGGTTACATAATGCAAATTATAATTCTTTTCTTTTTTTTTTAAGGGGGGAAAATCATCGTTTGACTGCTCCCGCCTGGGTGAGGCGGGAGGGAGTGTCAGACTCTTACTGACTAAAAACCACCCCGTTCCTTCTCCTGCACGTCGAGTCGGAGCCCCGGTTACCCGTTAGGTTCTCCGAGGTGACTTAATGCACACCATACACTTATAAAAATGATCACAGAGGTAATCTCATCTATGACGCGCTAATGGACAGTAACTTTACGTGCTGAACGACGGAACTCATACACGTATTCGTTTAGTTGATAACTACTTGCAACAATCGGTCCCTGACTTATCATTGATAAGAATAAGAATAAGAACGTTTATTTGCACGAAGTATGGTTATAATTATAAAAAATAGTCCCACATACATCGCCTACTGTTTTCGGCATGCAAAGTTAAGTTTTACAATATGATCAAGTTAAATCTTACATTCAATAAAACCAATTACAAAAATGCTTACAACTAGGATAACATAATTATTCCTCGTAACATATTCTTATTACTTTTCTTCTTTATTCACATATTTATCATTTTAGTGACTTACTAAATAACAACACACTTAATATTGCACACTTAGTATTGATTTTTAGATTGATTTCCAATGATACTGCATTGGGAGTTAATTAGATCGTTTTAAACGAAAACTTAGGTAGTGACCATTTAATAATTAAAATATCACACCAGTTGTCATTTCGCGTCCCTCCTGTATCTAAAAGGAATTTCCGTAAAGCTGATTAGGTTTCTTAGAAAAGTCATTTAGAAAATGAATTTTATGATTTTATCCTTCCAAGTGGGGTGCGATGCCAGAAGACCTCCCCGTGGTGCACCCTGGGTGCGGGCGACAGTCTACCTAACAGGGGTGATAGGGTTCGGTGTGACTGTTGCCCGCAGCAGACTTCTGGACTGGGCGGGCGAACCCGATAGGGTTCTGGAGGCGGCGGGCTGTGTGCGGAGGCTCATAGCCCGCGCTTCCGTGGGGCGTTTCTCCGCCTGTCTCTCTGAACTTAGCAGAGAGCGTGGCGGAGAGGTAAGGGCGGTGCTCGTTGTGCACTCACCCTGCCACCGAGCAGCATCGGGACACAAGCTGTCCCCGATTGCAGCCGTCGATATCGTAATCCGTAAGGAGGTCACGGTCATGTTTTGTGACTCTGAAAAGGACGAGGGTCTTGGCTTGGTCGTCCGGACCGCGAGGAAGATAACCTCTATAAAAAATTCCTCCAATACTAAGTTCTGGTGCGCGGCGAGAGTATGCATGGCTGAGGTGTAGTGTCAGTCGTGAGCGCACCCCCAGCTAGGGGACCAGTTGACCCTCTAGTTGGGAAACAAATTTTCACTTACCCAGGTACAGGGGGCACTGCCTGGGTGGACCGAATATTTCCCCCATACTCGTGGGAATTGTATGGAGATGGAGATTTTTTGACTTATTAATATAAGTCAAAAAACAAACCACAATCGAGGAAGGAGAGTGCGGGTGAGCTCGGCTCGCCTGCAGTAGCGGGAGAAGGGAGCCCAAATGGCTCCGGGACTCGTGGTGAGGCGCTGGACTCGTCCAGCAGGCCCCACACACGGGACTCAAGTCGGAGGGGGTCAGACTCAGAGTCCGACACATCGCTGGTGGAGCGATTGAGCGTGAGCTCGAAGAGCTCACGCCGTCGCGTGACGGGGACGTGTAAGCGTCCCAGATTGGAGGAGGACATTCTGTCCCCTTCCGGCGCACAGGAGGCGCCTCCCCTTAAGGTCCCCACGGCGGCGCGGGGTAGGGGCGGCAAGGGCAGCGGTCGCCGGAAACCGGCATCAGCTGCCTGCGTGGAGTCAGCCGAGCAGCTGGCTGCAGAGGGCAGGGCTCTTTCGAGCGCTGCCCGCTCAGAGTCCTCCGCGGCAGGGATGTCCGGCGTCGACATGTCGGAGGGCGAGCGCGGTTCCGGGAGCGAGGGCGATTCCGGGAGCTTCCTCCAAGTGACCAAATACCAGCCTGCCAGGACCGTCCTCTTCAAAACAGCAGAGGCCACCATAATGAAGGTGGCCTTGCAACGGTATGGTGTACCTACCACTGAGGGAGTGCACCAGGAGCTGGTAGAGATGCGGCGGGAGATAGCGCGCTTGGCGGCCTCCAACGCGGCTCTGGAGGCCGAGCTGCGGACGGCCAGGGCTGAGCTCGCTGCCGCTCGTGATAATCGCCCCCAGCCCTCAGCGGATGCCGACGTAGTCGGACTTCTGCGAGCGGAGATGGCCGCCTTTC